TTCGTTTAGGGCCGTGTCTGAGGCTCGCGAATGTCTGTAAAAACTACAAATGACTTGGTTACTGATTTTAAAAAACAAAGAATAAGTGCTTGAAATCTCACTATTAAAGGCATGTTTAATTGCTTCGGAGTTCCTTGATTTGTTGAATACGATAAGAATTAAAAAAAATCATGTTTGTGGTTATAATATACCAAATATCTGTCCTTCTACTTAGAATTATGAACACACTCTTCTCCAGTTGATTAGAGACAGAAATTCAGAAGAACTAGAGCGAGTGAGGGGAGGTGATGTCTTTTCATACAATACTTCTTTATTTACCTAGACATAATGAGAACACTGAATAATTTAAAACTATCTGTGTTTCAGATACCTGTGGAATTTGTGAAGAAGCTGCTCGCTTCTGGTAGCGAGGGTTTGGATGACTAGGCTTGTATGGCAGACCAACGCAGGCACTGGTGTAGGTGTGCTGGGTGTTCAGCTCTGTTTCCTGGCTTCCCAGAGTTCTGTCTATGGAAGGGAATAGTGGGACCTTGGCTTAGGAAGGGAATTAAGGGGAAAAAAAAGCAAATAAGTCAGCAGTGTATTGTTTCAGTTAGAGTGTCATTGCAAACCACATTTCAGAGATGTGTTGTTTTTTTTTTTTTGAGGCAGATCGGATGATTTACAGGCTGTACTTCCAGAGCTCCTCTTTATATAGCTTTGGAAAAAATAGAAATACACGGGCGAGATCCAGCTTTGTTTACTCTGGAAGTTTTTTGCTGTAGTGAAGAATAAGTACGCGTGTTTGAAGTCGTGGCAGCCTGCGTGCCTGACGCTGTGGTGTATGCAGTTTGTGTACTGCCACGGTGATCCCACACAAGAAGTTAAGCCTGAAGGTTCTGTGCTGGAGGATCACAGGCGTTAGGAGAAGCCTCCTGTCCCTGCTTGTTGTCATTGAGATGATTGTGAAACTATTCTGGACTTGTGATGCTGAGGTGCTCAGAGCCCCGCTTTCTAAAAATTCTTGAAGTTGGCCGTGCCTGGAGGTGTAAAACCGTCCGCAGCTTGCCCTGGGTGCCCCCTACCTCTGCGGAGCTCTCTAGGACGGGGTGTGGGACCTCCTCCGGAGCAATGGCAGAGCCCAGCGGGGGCCTGGTGACGCTTCGTGTGTCGGGAGGTGGACGTACAGAGTGCGCTGACTGGGGTTCAGTACCATGGGTACACCGAGGTCAGCGGTCAGAATGAAGAGGAGGAGGAGAAGCTCTAGTGTAAGTTCTGTATTTTTAAGGTAAAAGTAACAAAGCTGCATTCTTTATTATTCTTTCATAAATAGCATATGGATTTCTCAAATGCAGGTGACGGTTCTGTAATTCTCTTTGTGCTAGAGTTCCTAGCAAAGTACAAAGAGAAGATGCTTAGGTGGATAGGGGCTTTATGAACAAAGCCAGAGCAGACTAAGTTCTTAATGAAGTCTTTTTAAGATTGCAGAATGCACTCGATCGTATGTAATAAAACAGTATATATATATATATTTTTTAATATAAGACTAAGGGATATCAGGTACCCCTGGAAGGAATTAGGATGCTGTATTGGAGGTCACAGGTGTAACTGTCGAATGAAGAAACAGCTGCCTAAATGCACTTGTAGACCATTGCGACACGTAATTCCAGAGGGCTTCCTGAGCAGAAGAGGTGGGGTTGGATTTAGGTCGGCTTCCTCTGGGTCGTCGCAGCTAACCTCGGTGCCCTTTCAAACAGCTGCTCGCTCTGGCTGGCTCCCATCAATACAGCGTGCTGGGGGCCTGGATACGGGCTGGTCAATAAAAAACAAACCCCAAGACGGGTTTTTTGTCACTGTGGGGACGAAAAGCTTAGTTTGTTGGGGGAAAACACTGATATCGCTAAGCCGATCTGTAGATGCTTGTGTTTTGCTTCTCAGTTCTCCTCTTCTGATCGTGTTTTGCTGAATTGCTCGTGTGTGTCTCTGGCTTGTTACGTGACGCTTCTGCCCTGTGAGCCCCTGGCGTGAGTTCACTGATGGGGGTAATACTGTACGTGTCAGGAACTTGAAAGTGTCAGATTTTTTGGTGTATGTATAAAAATATTCTCTCTAGTTTCTAACATACAGGAACACATTACAAACTGAAGTGCTGATCCCTGCGCTTGCAGCTCTGTGCTTTCTGGCTAGGGAAGGGATGGTAGATGCCAGCTCACAGAGCAGGACTGCTGTATGAAAAGGTGTGATAGCTCTGTGATGAAGTTGCAGCCAGCTGTGTGTTCCCAGGAGCCTCTCTACTGAGTTAGGGAGGTTTGGGAACTTAATACTTTACCTTGGCAGGTTGCCTCTTACCGGAAACCATCCGTTTACTTTGGCTGTGTGTATGGCTGCTTGCCATTTTTGTTTTGCCAGTTAATTTTTTTTTTTTAAACACAAGTCATTTTTTGTGTCTGAGCCTCTTGAACTAAACAGAAAAACCAAGACGACAGCTGTTATAAATGCTACTTGACAACATTTTTTTTCTTTCCTCTCTCAGATGAGAACTCTCCAGCCAATTTCTGGGATTCCAAGAATCGGGGAGTGACTGGCACACAAAAAGGACAAATCGTATGGCGAATTGAACCTGGCCCCTATTTTATGGAATGTAAGTACCTATTTATCTGGTAGAAGGCAAGCATGCCTTTCTGTCAAGGCAAGTCAGCAGGACGGCGCTTGGTACCTGTTTTGTCCCACCCTCTGATGTACCAAAGGAGTTGATGGTGTTACTCTAAGGGGCAGCATTTTCCAGGGCGTTTGCTGGACGTCGTAAAGAAACGGAGTTGAGCTGAGGTCTACGTTTGTGCTCTGGAGGTGTTCTTAGACAGTGTGTTTCATGTCAGGGGAGGAAGAACTTGCCTTGTGCAACGTCACGTAGTATTTACACATTGAAAGGTGAAGTCCCTTCCCAAGAAGTTTAAAACTTCAGCTGGACAAACATGATGGTAAGTGCACACGAAGGAAAAGGTGAGAGGCCGGTAGTGCTTGCTCGTGTTTGTTAGTGTGAAGGCTGGATTTGTCTCGAGGAAGCGCCAGCCTCCTGGCCAGGTGCATCAGTATTTCTCAGCTGAAGCTTCACTGAAATCCACAGGTCTGAAACACTGAGAGTCTCTGTGTGACAGTTAAACTCCATAAGAAGTATTGGTAGCCAGGCTTCAGATCGGGTTGGGCAACCAGAGTTTATATGCAGCTAAGCCACTCTGCTGGGTGATTTTAGGGTTTTGTTTTGTTTTTTTTCCTTTGTTCTTGGTTTTCAGTGAAAAGGAGCTATCTTACCATCTAAAGTAGATGGTCCCCTGAAGAAATTGATGTTCAAAACCTAGGATGTTGTGTCTGAGCTTGCTGGAAACTCTGATGTGCCAAGCATCGAAGTGGCAATCAGTCCCAAAAGAGCTGTGAGCTGCTCTACCACCTGTTTAGCCTCACAGCAACGAATCTTCCTTCATAAATTTAAAAAAAAAGTATGGACTCCCACTCTATTACTTCACTGTACACTGCAGTGCAACTAACCATAGATCTTGGCAGCAATTTTTCTTCTAATTAACTGCTATAATAGCAATACATGTATTTCAAGAGGTGCTGTCCCCTGTACTGTGAGGAATTATTAAAAATTGTTATTTCTAGAACTCATCATTGAATCTTGCCAAGTTACCCTACACAGCACTTTTTTTTAAACAAAGAAATCTTTAATAGGATAAAATTCAATTCAATTTCAGGAGTTCATTACAGGAAACAATGGTTGAACCAAAGATGACGATCAAGAAAATAATAAAGATTCAGATAATTAACTTTCCTGGTGCCAAAGACAGCGGAATATTAAAGCAGATTAAAATGTATGTCAGAAGGGTTAGTTGGCCCCTCTTCCTTGTGCAGACACGGGATGGATACTGTTGCCAGTGTGGGCGGTTTGACCTCAGGGATGTTTGTCTGTGACTTTAGCTGTTACGTGTTGCGATGTGATGTACGGAGAGGAGGGCACACCGTTTGAAGTGCATGTGGGTACCTAGGCTAATGCTTCAAGAACGAGCAGTTGTGACTTAAAATCAGCTGCAACTGACTTTGCACTTTGCAACCAACTGATACAAAGAGCGCAGGGCACGCGTTCCTTGGTCATGGCTGGCTTTGCTAGCAGGCAGGTCTGCTGCCCCACAGTGAACAAGAGACGAGCAGTTATGTAGCAGCTGAGAACTGTAAAAAGGAATGGTTATGAGCATATGTCGCTATAGCACATGGTATGGCAGATAAATATGTCACCAGTGACACTTCTGTGTCTAGCGAGAGGCCAAAACGAGCACAGAGACGAGCTGGGTGTAGAATGAGTTATAGCTGGGTTCGGTCACTATGGGGTTTTGTGGCCTGGAGCTGTTGCGGGTTTGGAGCCCAGAGAGTGCTGAACTATATACTGCTCTAGACCGCCTCTGCCCTGCTCTAGACCGCCTCTGTACTGCTCTGCCTGTACACAAGGAGCGGGGTGGGGAGGGTCGCTGCGAGCCTGCGAAGCCTTGAGCCAGCTCTCGCAGTGAGGACTGGCGCTGCTTGTTCACAGCCTTACGCTAAACGACGACAATAATCCTGGAGGATTTACAGTCCGAACCGGCCTGAAGCTGTCCGTCTTTTGGCAAGAAAAGGAACTGAAGTGACTGATGCGGAATGATGGGTTGAGATCAGTCAGCGTGCGCGTTATCCCAGAGACTGGGCTGTGTCTTTTCCCTAGCAGTGCCAGAGCTGAGGGACATTACGTAGCTTTTCATCTCTGTAGGGCAAAGTGCAGAGGGTGATGGCATCGCTAACAAGCCGTATGCAAACGAATCTCATGCAGAAGGGGTATTGCCATTTTAGTTTCATTCATGTTAGGCAGTGGGAGTCAGCTGGGCTGGGCCTCAGATTCCAGTCCTCAGGTTTGCATCACCTTATGCCCTAACTTGGGAAGCTGTTTTTCCATGAGCATAACTGTGAACTTATAGTTTCACTGAGGTCTGTGGAAATTATGCTGATGTTTAAAGGTAGGCCTTGGATAAGCACTTTCTTGAATTTCTCGTTACTGTGTATCCGCAGTCTTGTAACTCAATTTTCCAGTCATTCCATTTATTCCTCTTAAAAGCCCTCCCTATGGATTCAGCATCTCCCGCTCCCCCAGCAAGTATTGTGTAAAGGCAGAGTTTGCCATCTGCTCTGTTCAGATCAAGCAACCTGCAGAAGGAAGGGCAGGGAGAGTCTCAGCATCTTCGTAGTGAAAACAGACATTCATTCTTCCCAGAGCATCCAAAATTAGCAAAACAAGCATGATCAAAGAAAACTCTCACTGGCTTTAGAGAAAAATCAACACATAAAATTCTCTAGACTCTACCCCGAGAAGGGAGAATCAAAGGAATCGGCAGTGAAATAATGCGGGATGAACTGAATGCATTCCAGAAATCCAAGCAGCCTCCGAGGGGAGGGGGGGAAGAGGGTGCAAAGGAGAAAGAAAATGCTTGCCAGGTGCGACGTCCAGCTCGGCGTCACAAACAGCTGCTGTCCTTGAGCTGTCACCTCCAGACAGAGGGGCTCTGCGCCGCAGACCCAGCCGGGACAGAGGCCGGCGCTCCTCTGGCTTTGCCCTGTGTAAGCGCTCCTGGATTGGGCTTGGGTTTGTCAGGGGTATCCTTGGGCCCGTTAGTGCTAATCAGCGTCCACAAGAAACACCTTCACCTACTTTACCTGTAGGGTGAGGTCTTAGTGGTTATTTATAACATTCGATGTCGTAGTCACTATTGTGAGTAGAACGGAAATACAGTAATTTGCATATATTTTCTTTACCGATGCTGTGGCTTGATGTCTTGAGCAGTAATCCATGGTGGCAGCTGGTGGGACTCATCCAGAGACTGCCAGTCTTGTCACATCAGTCATTTCCAGATCCCCCGTGGGGTGTTTGTGGTCAGACGACTTCTGGTGCCACGCTGCCGTGCTCGGGTGCAGTGACTGCACAGATGCTGGCTGTTCTGCGCTGAAAATCTCGGGTTTGTGGCGGGAGTAGACTGTGAGATATATTCGGAAAACACGGTAATGTATGTGTTTGCATTACACTGGAATCGCGTTCAAAGGGAGCTTTTGTTCTTTGTATTCAGTCCCTATTCCCATGAAATTATAACTTCTGCAAAAATAGTGTGTTGAGACTGAAGCTGCCATACTTTGTAGCTAGCAGAGCATGCTCCCAGCTCCCTTGTTTGTTAAAAAGCTAATATATATTGAAGGAAGAAAAAAACATCAGTTTAATAATTGCACTTGGTGTGCTGTTAGCTTTTAAGGGCTCCTGCAGCAAAGAGTTGTTAGTAGAAGTATGAGCACAGTTCAGTATTTTTAGTGGTTTTGACCAAAGTGGGCAATGTTAATGCATGTTCTGTCGACATAATTCATTACTTGTATCCAGCCTTTAGATTTTTTGGCCATTTAAATTAAATTCTGCAAAGGCCATGGTTTTCTCTCGTGGAATTGTTCACAGCCTGGACAGCTTGTCTGTGTAGTGCCCTGCAACCAGCACCTTGCAGTGATCTGTCTGGGGACTCAGGGTTATTGTCCCTACCCTATTTATAAACGCATTCGCTGAGTTAGAAATACTTCTGTTATTCTTCTGCTATTTATATCTGTTGCCTCTTAACAGCTATTTTTGTGTATCACGAATACCTGAAACAGGATCAGGTCTTGTATTTTTTACGTTTGTGGCAAGCCTTGTTCTCTTCCTTCAGCACATAATAAGCCTGGGGTTTTGTCTTAAAGGTTAGGTTATAATTAATGCTTTGCCAAACTGGAATGTAATAGGCAGTGCTCATGACTGTAAATAAGAACGTCTGAGCGTGGCAGCAGAGTGAGCGGGGCTGGCAGGGAGAGGTGGGCTCTGTTGCTGGAACAACCGTTTGTCCGAGGGGTTTCCTTGGGAGCAGCGTAGATGGAGAGAGACCACTGGGACAGAAACATTTGCTGTTATTGATCCTAGTTTACCTAAAAAGCTTGCTGTAAGTCTGCTGAAGTCACTGTCTAGGTTTTGGGGGTTTTTTATCATTCCTTCTGTAAAATAAATTCTGTTACATACCTGGTGAGGGAGATGGCCAGCCCCCAGGGGCAGCCAGCTTTGGCACTGGTGTGCTGCTGCTGTTGGCTACCCTGTGCTCTTCCCAGTAGGACGCGATCGAAATGGTCACAGTTAACATGATGCAGAGAGCAGAATGCTGTGTCCAAACACAAAGGTCGTGGGCACTGACCTGTCATGCTAAGGAAAAGAAATTCAGCTGGCAGGACGCGCGGAGCACTGCTAAATCCCTGCAGTTGTCTGTGAGGTGTTTGGGTTCAGCTGGGAAAAATTAGGGATCAGCCCAGTGCCTTGTCCCTGGGCGGCGTCTCCCCACACAGCTTTGTGGAGCCCGAATGTGGGTGACTTAACTGGTGCTAGTGACAAAGTTTGCTTAAATAAGTGTCACGGAACATGCTCTTATATTTTTCAGATGAGTTTATGTGATGGCGTCTTTTTCCTCATGAAGGAAGTACAATGCTATGATTTCATGAAGGAGATCTTTTGAAATTCAAATGTCGATGTTTGAGTCCCAGAAACCTCTGTTAATTCCCATGTCTTTATAT